TTTTTTTTTTTTTGATGTTTAACTTTCGGAATTCATTATAGATCCAAGATATTAATCTGTGTGACTTATGTATAGCTGGAAAAGATTTTCTCCCCTTGCTGGTCTGTCTCCTTACATTGCTGACTGCTTTCTTGCTAATGAAGCATGGTTTTCATTTCATGTAGTTCTGTTTGTTGATTCTTTTTTTTTATTTTTTTATTTATTATTTTACACGTCGATCCCAGTTCCCCCTCCCTCCCTTTTATCCTCTTTGCCCCCTCACATGCACCCTGACCACCCTCCCCTCCCATCCCCCCACCCCAATTCCAAGTGTAGGACAATGCCATCTAGATGGGGTCATGTAGATCTGTCAGGTCATTTGAAGTAAGGACTAGTACTTCTCTCCTGTCTCTAGGTTAAGGCAGTATCCCTCCATGGGGGATGTTTCGCAAGGTCCTTTTGTGCACTAGGGATACATCCTGGTTCCACTGTCTGAGGTCCCTTAGACTGAGGTCCCTTCTGGCTGAGACCCATATTCAGGGGGGCCTGAGTCAGTGCCATGCTGGCTTCCCAACTATCAGTCTAGTGGCCCTTAGCTCCTCCTTGTTCAGGTAAGCTGTCTCTATGTGTTTCTGCCTCATGGTCTTGTCCTCTCCATCTGCATCTGGGTTCTAGTTCGACTCAGTGTTTATGTATGGGTGTTTGCTCCTGTTTCCAACAGACATTAATTGAGGGCTCCATGGATAAGTTAGTTGTTGATCTCACTCTCTGGGAAGGGCATTTATGGTAGTCTTTCCACAGATGCTCAACTTGTTAGTTGGCAGCAGTCTTGTAGGTCTTTAGACCTTTCTTTAGGTTCAGTTTTCTCTTCAAACCAATACTGGCTTCCTCTTTTATGTTCTCTCTCTCTCTCCTGTCTTTTATTTCTACCCTGACTTAATCTTCCTAGTCACACATGTTTTCCTCTCCTTCCCCTCTCTTTCTCCTACTTCTCTCTCTATTCACTGCCCCTCCCCCTTCCCCTGTGCTCTGGGGGACTTTTCCCTTCCCCCTTCTATGAGGGACTTTATGTAAATCCCTTAGAATATACCTTGTATCCTAGTTCCTCTGGTGATGTGAATTATAGGCTGGTGATCCTTTGATCTAGGTTTAAAGTCCATATATGACCGAGTACATACCATGTTCCTCTTCATCCTCTTCATTCAGGATGGTTTCTTCAAGTGCCATCCACTTGCCTGCGAATTTCAAGATACCATTATTTTTTTTTCCGCAGAGTAGTATTCCATTATGTAGATGTGCCACATCTTCTTTATCCATTCTTCAGTTGAGGGGCATCTAAGTTGCTTCCAGGTTCTTGCTATTACAAATAATGCTTATATGAACATAGTTCATTGAACAGATGTCTTTGTTGCATGGATGTGAATCCTTAGGGTATATACCTAAGAGGGGGATTGCCGGGTCCTTTGGCAAACTAATTCCCATTTTTTCTGAGGAACCGCCACACTGATCTCCAAAATGGCTGTACAAGTTTGCACTCCCACCAGCAGTGGAGGAGTGCTCCCCTTTCTCCACATCCTCTCTAGCATAAGTTGTCATCGGTGTTTCTAATTTTAGCCATTATGGCAGGAGTAAGATGGTATCTCAAAGTTGTTTTGATTTGCATTTCCCTGACAGCTAAGGATGTTGAGCATTTTCTTAAGTGTCTTTCAGCCTTTTTGATTTCCTCTATTGAGAATTCTTCCTTCAGTTCTGTACCTCATTTTTAATAGGATTATTTGGTGTTTTGTTGACTAGTTTCTTGAGTTCTTTGTATATTTTGGAGATCAGCCCTTTGTCAGATGTAGTATTGGTGAAAATCTTTTTTTCCAGTCTGTGGGCTGCTGTTTGGTCTTGTCCACTATGTCCTTTGCCTTGCAGAAGCTTCTAAGTTTGAGGAGGTGTCATTTATTAATTGTTGATCTCAGTGTCTGTGCTCCTGGAGTTATGTTCAGGAAGTGGTCTCCTATACCAATTTGTTCAAGGATACCTCCTACTTTCTCTTCTAAGAGATTCAGTGTGGCTGGATTGATGTTGAGGTCTTTGATCCATTTGGACTTGAGTTTTGTGCATGGTGACAGACATGGGTCTATCTGTAGTCTACACACACTCATCCAATTGTGCCAGCACCATTTGTTGAAGATGCTTTCCTCCCCCCATTGTATTCTTTTAGCTGTTTTGTCAAAAATCAGGTGTTCATAGGTTTAGGTTTAGGTGTAGGTTTATATCAGGATTTTTGACTCAAATCCATTGGTCTACCTGTCTATTTTTGTGCCAATACCAGGCTGTTTTCAGAACTATAGCTCTGTAGTAGAGCTTAAAGTCAGGGATGGTGATGCCTCCTGAAGTTCTTTTATTGTACAGGGTTGTTTTGGCTGTCCTGGGTCTTTTGTTTTTCCATATAAAGTTGATTATTATCCTTTCAAGGTCAGTGAAGAATTGTGCTGGGATTTTAATGGGGCTTGTATTGAATCTGTGGATTGCTTTTGACCATTTTTACTATATTTATCCTATCTATCCAAGAACATGGGAGATCTTTCCACTTTCTGGTATCTTCTTTAATTTCTTTCTTTAGAGCCACAAAGTTCTTATTATAAAGGCCTTTCACTTGTTTGGTAGGTGTTACATCAGGTGCCTTCCTTAGTCCCTATTCTGTTGTCTGTTGTTTTGTTCTGCTCTTTTTTGCCAATCTCTCACTAATCCAGTGTTCACAATTTGCCAACACTGGCTGAGCATTGAGCTCTGGGGACCCAGTGATCTCCTACAGTGTCTTAGATTTGTTTTCTTTTCAATTGATGTGTTAGAATATTCATGCGAAACCACTTCAGAAAGCAGATTTTTATTTCATGTTATAGATTAATGTCCATCATGGAGGGAAGTCAAGGCAGGAACCTGGAGGCAGGATCTGAAGCAGAGGTCATAGAGGAACATTGTTTATTTGCTTGATCTCCATGCCTTGCTTAGCCTGATATCTTATATCACTCCAAACCACCAGTCTATAGGTGGCATTCCCCAAACAGATGGGTTTGACCCTCTCGAATAGAGCATTGATGATGAAAATGCCCCAACAGACTTGCCTGCAGTCCAGTCTGATAGAGTCATTTTCTCAGCTTAGGTTCCATCTTCCCAACTGACCTTACCTTGTGTCTAGTTAAAAACTAAAAACCAAACATAAGCTTGCAGGGTGTCATGCTATTTTTTAGTGTAAATGCCGGGGGGTCCAAGCTCAGGTCCCTGCTCCTATTCACCATGCACCATACTGATGGAAATCCCATATCTCAGGTCTGTTTTGGTTTCAGGGCACATTAAACCTGCATAAGAACATGAGCATAAGTGGTTCCACTTCTGCCCATAGTAATTACGTAGAATATGCAGATTGATTCACATGTCACCAATTTTAAAAGGTATGGTCCTTTAACCTCTGGACCAGATGTCTCAGCTTCTGTTGACTTGTTTATTGTTTTTTTTTTTTTTTTTTACTACAGTATAATTTCTGCTGTATGGCTTAACTATTGCTTTCATTTTCTTCAATGTTTCTGGAGAAAACATTAGGTACACTATGGAGAGCAGGGGACAAGTCAGTAACTGAATCAATAGCTATCTGAATGGCCACATCTGCTTATTATTTTGCTGATGTGGCTTCAAGTTCATGCTCTTATCTAGAGCCCTCCTTATGCCTATCTGGTGTGTGTCTGTATGGTGAGTTCATTTCATGTGATGTGTTTCCTCCCTGACTTTGGTGAATTTACTTACGAGCTCTAATAATGATCTGTGGAGTCTTCAAGATGTCCTATACATATTGATAGTGGACTGGTTCTCTTTCCCCTTCTGTAGGAATGACAGCTAGGTCAATGCTGCCATCACTTCTAGCCACTGTCCCTTTCAGTTCTCTGTGCTATTCAATCCTCCATTGTTCAACCAGGAAACCTTTCTCCAACCCACAGGCTAGAAGTGGTTTCCCTCAACACAGCCAGAGAAGCCATGAGTATCCAGTTCCCAGAGCCTTGGACACCCCAGCTCTGGGACTATATGTACAGCTCACTTCTTGATGAGACATGGACTAGTGTGATGTTTACAACCTTGTTCCAAGCTGAATGCCTAGTGATGTGGTGTGTTTGTGGGTGTCCTCCCATAACAGATCCAAAATGAGCTGCCTTATACTCTGAAGAGACACTGATACTATTCAGTGTCCTCTAAAAGGTAAGTGGCACCACACAAGCCCAGGATAAGGACAACAGTGACTCATTTTTTAATGGTGAACCTTGGGTTTGTCCCATGGAGGATTGCAAGTACATAGTTAACAGTAAGACTGCATTTAATTCATTTCTCACAGACAAATGTGAAAAATTTCCACGGACTGACTTGTCATTTGTTGACCATCCCCAGAATTCTGGGAAAGCTTGGCAGTTTTTTATGACAACCATCTGTTTCAAACTGTTCACTGGTGTGCAACAGTGTCACAAGGTATACACACAGCTCTGGGTTGGTAAGAATGGTGGCGCTAATGTCATCCTCTGCATGGCCCTGCTGTCCAGTTTGACAGAGCAGAAGCCTAGGGAGATGTGGACCTGTGTGCTTGAGCCCTGCTATATCTGAGCTCAGAATCAATGTCCCCAAGTGTTAGGGAGACCACTGAGCACCAGACTGCCAGCTCCTAGTATATGTTCCTTGCCACTGTTGCTATTTGCCCATTTCCTGCCACATAAGCTGTTTGTTTTTCCCTACTTCTAAGATGGCCTGCAAGGGTCCTCATTCATGATCCACATTTGGCTCAGAGGTGCCATCCACAGGTAAACATGAATAGATTGCTCCACATGGGAAATAGACATGTCCCTGAATCATATAATTTAAAACGAGTAAACAATTTTTATTAATATTAAAGCATGAACAACAAACCAACAATAAAAACAATAAAAAATTAATCAAAATTAAAGGAAATATTAACAATGAAAACAACAATAAAAATGAAATGAAATTCAATAACAATGTAATTAATAAAAAGAATTAAATGAAATTAAAGATGTTTTCTCTAAAGAGGGCCTGTGGAGCTGGTTTGGGGTAGAATTCAGCAGGTAAATCTTGATCCAACTATATGTCAACAACAGGCAGAGGGAAAAAGGGCTCTGGGTCACCTAACTGCACAACACCAAGTACAAATATGTGCCCGGTGGCTGGGACATCTGCTGCCACATCGAGAAGCTTTTGTGTATCAGCGGATGTGGGCAGAGGCTGCTCTGAAGGCAGAAGCTCCACTGGTTCAGCTTCTGGCACAGCTGGGTCCCCAGCTGCTGGGTCCATGAGCTCAGTGTCCTCTTGGGGATTCACATCTCTCTGTGGCTCTGCCGCAGAAGCTGCTCTCAGAGGCAGAGTCTCTCCCATCCCTGAGACATCCAGCACTGGGGCTTCTGGAGTTGTCTCCCTGAAGAGCCCACAATCTAGGACAGAAAGAGATGGACCGTTAGTGGAGGTACTCTAGAAGTTTCCAGGGTAGATTGAGCCTAACTGACATGGCCTCGTTGATCACACAAGTTCTGTTCATATCAGAGAATCCCAGTCCACCACAGAACATCTCACCTGCCTGGCATCCAGCTCTGGTTCCAAGCCAGGACATCTATCTGGAGAATTCCCTGTACAACCCATCACCAAAATCACTTCCGAGCTTTCCAGGCACCTACCCCATGTCTCCTCATCCTCTTTGGATTCCGGCTCCTCCAGCACTGATAGGAGCTCTTCAGTTTGAATAGTGACATCTGAGGAAGGCACGTTGAGCTTTATGTAGTTCACCAGCCTCTTTGCTGTGGCCACACTGTGATAATCACAGAAGTCCTGGGGATGTGTGTGGACCCACATGGACAGAAAGCTGAATATGGCACTGCATAGAGGAACAGGTTGGTGGGAAAAAGAGTCAGAAGCCTGGCCTTGCTTCACCAGCACAGCAGAGATCCCTCAGATGAGGAAAAGGCTGCCCAGCCCACTTGTTGCTGGGCATAGGGTCAGGAGTGTGGGGTTGTAGAGATAGACACTTCTGTCCCTTGGAAATCTGGCCTGGGCTGTGGTGGGAATGGATTCCCCTAGGGCCCTTCAGCTTCATACATCCCTGTGTCCCTCAGAACCAAGGAGACCACTTTTGATCTCTGTTTTTCTCCACCTGCAGGTGAAGTCTCTGGCACCATCCCTCTAGTGGAAATCCTAAGAGCAGGGTGACTGGTAATGGCTTAGTCCTGAACCCTAGCCACCCCAGACATCCCACTGTGCAGATAGGCTCCTACCTCCCTCCTCACCCAAACCCACTCACGTCTTTCTTTCTTGATCTTCCACATAGTCAGGCCGGAAAGATCCATACCTGTGGCAAACCATGATGGTATCACTGTTAAGTCCAAGTGTCCCCAACCCACCAGGAGACTTAGAGGGAGCTACTGGAATCTGGTGTGGTGTAGAATCCAGGAAGAGGATGAGGGTGCTGAGGGCTCTTTGCACTGTTCTGACTTTCATGCTGATCATCTAGGAATGAGCTCACAGCTCTTCAAAGATCTTCATGTAATGGGTGGAACCTAAGCTCCCCACTGCTAGGTTTCAGTTGGTTCAGGGCTTCTTGGATGCTCCCCAGGGACTTGTGTCTGGCTCCATTCATCTCATCAAACCTAGATAGTGTCTAGAACCTTTGATACAAATGGGGGAAAGGCTCTGTTCAAGGATAGTTAGACACTTCTTGGGGAAAGTGAATGATACAATTTAGAATTGTCTCCCCTACCCTATATCTGACCATGTCACTTTGAGGGGCCAGTACCTAGGACCAATGATGTCAGGGTACAATCATCCTCATCCTATGAGAGATTACAGTCCCAGAGAAGAGTAAGTAGAGCCATCCTAATACCAGAGCAGGAGGCTTGAGAGCCTGTACTTGTGTGTAACCACTCACATTTCCATGATCAGGTCCAGCACCTCCCAGGTGGTGGCAAACTTTGGGTAGTCAGCCAAAAATACATACATCTCAATGATGTCCTGGTTCTTAATTGCAGTTGGAATATAAGCTATGAATTTTTCCAGGTAGTCTGGGCTTTTACGATTAAATGCAGGGGGCTTATGCCGCTTCCTTTTACTCTGAGAAAAGAGCAAGGAAGGAGGGTTTAAAATAAAAACTTAGAGACATCACCAACCCATCACCACACACTGAAGTGAAAAGCAGGCATAATGTTCCTCAGGGTTCTCACAGGAACACACACCCTGTCAGGGACTGTGATGGATCATGGAGCCCAGAAGAGATTTCTGTTTACAGGCTGGCCTGTGTTACCTTGGGTTCCCTGTGGGAAAGTGGCCAGAGGTATTGGGTAACTGGGTGCACCCAATGTCTCCAAAGGTGGCCAAGGCCACACCTCTTGGTTTTTTGGTGGCCTGAGCCATCATCAGAAGTCTGGAAACAGCAGAACATCCTGGATGTTCAAGCACTTCCAGAGAAATGAGTCTGTTGATGCTGCTGCCCGCCTCCAGTTACCTGGGAACCAGGATTCCACGTTCCATCTGGAATATTGTAAGGAAGTGAGGTTACTTCCTGGGCCCCTCCAGCCTAAGCCTCTTCCACATAGGCTTTCTCAGGGACTGACCAGGACTGCCAACTCTACTCCCTCTGCCTTTCCATGTGTACAATGGGACACAGTGGTGTCCATATGCTCAAGCCACACACTGACCTTGGGAGTCTGGCTTCAGCCAGACTCTCAGCTTTGAGAAACCAGAAATGATTTCTGAACTATTCCCTCTATACCACAAGCATCCCAGGAAAAAGGAATTTCTCTTAGGATCATCCCACTGTCCCAGCCTACTCCTTGTAGATCATTCTAGTGTTTATTTCCTAGTATGTGGTCATGTGGATGTGGTCACAGATTCCCTATAACCGGGAAAACCCATACTACTGTCACAAATAGAGACAGGCACAAATAGAGACAGGTGCCCATGTCCTCACACCTGCACTCTCACAAGGGCACACAGAGGATCCACTTACAGATGCCTAGGAGCATGTCAGTATAGAAATGGCCTTGCTTAGGTGGCCTTAGGGACATTTAGGATGAGGTTAGCGTTGGGGTAAGAGACAGAACTGTATGCGCTCATGTTTAATGGTGCTCTTTCACTTAGAGGCTCCTCTCCATTTCTACACATTCTAGTGTTTATTCCCTTTGGCTTCCACAGACAACAGCGTGCCTCTTCTGCATCTCCAGGCACTGATGTCTGCGTTCTGGACTGCAGGTGTCTATACCTCTCCCAACTTTCCTTACCCCAGGGAAAAGTATGAACTAACATTAAGACAGATTCCAAAGCTACAGCTAAACCTTGTCTCCAGAAACCAAGAAAAAAAAGTTTGGTAAAAGTTTCCCTATCTTCATTCCTTCAAAATTCACTCATATTTAAGTTTCTGGCTTCTTGATGGAAATGAGACATGTAGAAGTTCAGTGCGAAACCACAAGGCAGGAAAAAAAAAGAGCAAGGTTGTGGCTCCAAGAGTTTAAAGAAATATAAAAGTTTTTACTTTTATATAAAATTTTTTAGCAGAGGATACAAACAGAAGAGTGAAATCATATGACAGGATAGTTAATCCTGGGACATGTGAGCACCAACAGTGATGACAGTAACAGTTTAGGAGGCTGGCAGAACTGTAGCAACATCATGGATGGTTTCACTGTGTATAAAGTTGTTTATGAGGTCAAAATATATGTGAACACATAGGGATCTGAACACAACCATTGGAATACATGTGACCTGGCTCATGAGATCAAAGGATGTGGGATATTCTGAACCCTTCCACACCTTATATCCTACCACAATTCCTGAAGCCTGGTTTGTGAGGTCAGAAGGGATACCAATCCTAGATCATTCAGGGTCAGTCACCCTTCCCATCTACAATCCAGAACCATGTGTCTCCACACCTGAGCTCAAGCAAAACACAGATGAGCCAAATACAACCACACTAGGAACACAAAACACTGATCCAAACACTCCCTGACACAAAGGCATCAGAAACACTTAACCAACAAACTAAATCAGGATTAAGTAATCCTCTTTACAAAAATAGGATTTTCATGAAAAACCAAGAGCAACCCCCCCATGGTATCTCTTCACAGCAATAGGAACCCTAAGACAATATGTAATATATATGCATACACAACTTGTGGAATGCATTTTTGTTTGTGTGCTTATGGTTTCAGGACTGACCACTGTGCTTTAGACAACGGATTAGGGGATTCAACCCTAGGAGAGGCTAATTACTTTCTCTCAGCAGTTATTAGTTACCTGTACTTCTTTGACTAGGGTGGTGCCTTTTACATTACATGGCCATTGATACTGCCATTGTTCTCATCTTGTTTATATAGCCATTTCTAGAAGAAACTGTCTCAGAGCAAAATTCTTGGTATTCTAACTTTCACACTCTTCCTTCCATAATGGTACCTGATCATAGACACAGGATCTGTGATGTAGACATATCCATTGGTGCCAGTGTCCTCACAACTCATTTGTTTATCTCTGTATTGTGTTTTTCTGTGATGGTCTCCGTGATGGATGGTCTCCATGTCTTAGATAAGGGGTGGTAGCTTCTTCACTTACCTGTTGACTTCCACTTTGATTTTCAAAAGCAAAAATAAAGTAGAGAATGAGTTGGAAGTGAAACAAGGCCAGAAATGCTCCATGTTCATCCTTAGGTACATACATCTCCCAGCAAGATTCTTCCTTTTACAATTTCCTCAAACAGTATCAGCAAATGGGGACCAAGTGTTCAAATATGTGAGCCTATGGAGGTCATTTATTATCCAAACCACAGTGCTCTCTAACCCATTTTCCTTCATCCCTCTTATCCCTCACCACGGAAATCTATGCTTCAGAGCATTTGCCCTGTTCTTTAATGTCACTTTGTGTTCTACTATGTCCTTAATTATAGTTTTTGCTTGTGATTCAATATCACAGGTTTCCATATAGCTTTTTCATTTACCCTTCATTTTAGTTAGATATTTTCTCACTCCCTCACTTTTCCATCCTTCACTAGCTCCATGTTTATCCTTCCCACCCCCTAGTCCACTGGTGTTCAACCTTTAGGTGATCACTCTTTTGGGGTCAAATGACCCTTTTACAGGGGTGGCATATCAGATATAGACATTATGATTCATAAAGTAGCAAAATTACGACTAGAAGTAGCAATAAAATAATTTCATGTTTGGGGTCACTATGACATTGTATTAAGGGTCACAGCCTTAGGAAGTTTGAGAACTATTTCTTTGATCTATATTTATGTTTTACAGTATTTTATTATCTCCTTTCTCTTAATAGGTGTGCTCCCAACCACCTGTTTCTAATTACTTGGCTTCTTCATGTATTTCAAATTAAACACATGAGAAAATATTCAAAGCTAGGAGCCACATATGAGAGAGAACAAGGCATACACTATCTTTTTGAACATTATTCTACAATATATATTTCAGTTGGATCTATTTATCAGCAAACCTTAAGACTTTTTATTTACATCTAAGTAACACTCCACTGTGTAAATGTACATTTTCTTTATCTATTCAACAGTTGATGGAAATATAGATTTATACTTGTCTTAGTTACAGTTTGTATTGCTGTGAAGAGACAGCATGAATATGGCAACTCTTATAAAGGCAAACATTCAATGGGTTTGACTTGCAGTTCAGAAGTTTAGTTCATTGTCATCATGGCAGAAAACATGACAACACACAGGTAGACAAGGTGCTGCAGAGGTAGCTGAGAGTTCTACATCTGGATAGGCACACAGCAGGAAGAGAGGGAGACACTGTGTCAGACTTGAGCATCAGAGACATCAAAGCTCACCCAATGACACACTTCCTCCAACAAAGCTATGTCTACTCCAACAAGACCAAACCCCTAAAAGTGCCACTCCCTGAGCCTATGGGGACCATTTTCATTCAAACTACCACCACACTACTTTCTAGCTATTGTGACTAAAGTAGCAATGGACAAGGATATGCAAGTATCTTTCCAGTAGGATTAAAGTTCTTTGATTATTTCCCCATGGGTGGTACTGATGGGGTACATTATCTTACTTCTATTTATAGTTTTTTGAGACGTCTCCAGACTGATTTCATAGTGGGAGTACTAGTTTATGCTTCAACCAACAGTGTAGGAGAGTGTCCTTTCTGAGCTGAGCAGTGGTGGTGCATTCCTTTAATCCCAGCACTAGGGAGGCAGAGGTATGGGAATCCGTGAGTTCCAGGCCAGCCTGGTCTACAAAGCAAGTTACAGGACAGGCTTCAAAGCTACACCGAGAAATCCTGTCTCAAAACACAAAACAAAAACAAACAAACAAAACAAAAATAGTGTCACTTTCTGTCCATTCATAGCAGTGCTGCTTGTCACTGGTATTCATGAAAATAGACATTCTGAGATGGAATCTAGAAGTAGTTTTAATCTGTGATTCCTTGATAGCCAAGGACATTGCATTCTTTAAAAGTTTTTACTAGTTGGGTATGGTGCATAACTTTAATCCTGGCATGTGGAAGTCAGAGGCAAGCAAATATCTGTGAGTTTCAGGCCAAGCCTGGTCTGCATATGGCGAGTACCAGGACAGTCAAGAGATACACAGTGAGACTCTATCTCAACAAAAGGAGTTTACTAGCCATTCAGATTTCTTTTTGTAATTTATTTTAGTGATTATAATTTCAAGAGCCATGTGAAAAAACTGTGAACTTACAGTGCACTGTTAATGGAGTGTAGCAAGTTCTTTCTACAAGGCAATCATCTAGAAAGAACTGTATAAACTTTAAGTGAATGCACTTGACAGCGAGGAGACCAAGGGAATGTCATGGCATGTGTACACCATCTCTGTGGAAAAGGAAAAAAAAAACAAAAAAAACAGGAGGGATATTCTTGGTTCTTTTTTCATGACCAAAGACGAAAAGACATACCACAGGTGTATTCCCTCACTGCACTTATATTTGCTTCAGTTATCTCTAAAAGTCACCTCATGGTGTGCTTGCTTTAAGAATAAAAATGGGAAGTGCTTTGTTCACACTAGTCTGGAGTCCCTGGTTATCCCTTGTAGATATTTTCACCTAACTTTCAATATGAAGAGATTTAGCATCCCTGACCAGGAAAGGTAAACAATAATCACAACATTTCTCCCTTCCATTTCCTGGCTCCAAACCCTTCCAATGTTACCTTCCCTGCTTTCCACCAAATTCATGGATTTTTTGTTCATTAACTATTATTACATGCATATATGTATATATACATATATATTTTTAAATATAACTCCTTTAGTCTGTGTTGCTAGTGTGGATGAATTCAGGGCTGACTATTTGAAACTGGGCAACTGCATGGTGTGCTTCTCCCTGGGAAGCACTTCTGTTCCCAGCTTTCCTCAGTTGTCTGTATTCCTTATGTCAAGGCCTCATGAGCTTTTCTCTGCCAACTCTGGGATGGCCATTGGTGTCATCCTGTTCCTTCTTGGGCAGTCATGCTGGTGAGACTTAATGGGCATAGTTTCTGACCTTACTAGGAGACACAACCTCACAACACACTTCCTGATGCCTTGGATCTTACAATCTTTTCACCCTCCCCCCTCAATTTCTCCTGAGCCTTAGGTATGGGAATGTTTTATACATGTTTCCTTTGGGACTGAGCTCTACAAGTCTGCATATTGATTGGCTGTGGTTTTCTGTAGAGGTCTCTGTGGGTTGTAAAGGGAAGTTTTCTTGATAAGGAGTAAGGACTACACTTCTCTGTGGGTATAAGGACAGATGTTTATAGATTATTGTTAGGGACGATGCTAGTTTAGCAGATTAGTGTTTGTAAATCCTCCTCCAATAACCATGACCTCAAGTACTGAGTAGTTAGGTTTGTTTCCATTACCAGGCATGGCTGGCCTCTTGTTGAGCAGGTGTTAAGTGAAATCAATCCTATTAAGTTCAAGGTATACAGGCCACCACTGCACCCTGGTTATCATGTCATGCTGGTTGATGTGGTTCATAGATATCATAGCTGAGAAGGACATTGGTTACTTCCCATCTCTGGAGCTTGTATGGAGTGTTCTTGTACCAAGAAAGCTTATCCACAGGGAACAGAAATGCAGGTCAGTTCTAGTTCAGGTTACTATAGCCATTTTATATCATGGGTTAAACAAGAAAATAGTCTCCTTTTCAGCTATTTACAAGGACACAGTGCTTCAGGCCGATTGCTGTTTCTCTTTCTAGCTGCTACAAAGTAGAAAGACAAGAGTCATGCATACAGAAAGTTTGTGAGGACATTTTGAGACATAAATGCTTGGGTCTATGGTAAAATCTCACCTCTGGAGTCAGCTTCACTGAGTTTAAATAGCCATGACTATTTACTAACAAAGGGCATTTATTCCACTGTAAAACAGAAGAAAATACCTGTTTATGATGGATCAGAGAAGCGAGAGAGAAGGAATCCAGTTACTTACTGTGCTGTGTATTGAGAATGAGGACTGAAATGAGGTAATGACCGCCCTCTCCATCCCCAGAATATTATCAGGGAGGAATATTAATTCTCAGTGGCAATCCCGTGACATATTTATATGTTGTAAGATCATGCCACATCATGGCTTTCAGAACCCATGGTCCAAGATGATCAAACCAACAAATATATCTGTCTTTACCCATATGTAATTTGATATTCTCTGGCTATGTTTGAGGCGAGGGCAAAACTGCTTAAAGACCTGTACCTGCAATAGTGTGTGTCTACACACGGAAGTTGACATCCTGAAAAACCCGATGAACGGATGCCTTTTCACCTGAAAAAACATAACACTGTAACTGGCACTCCCCACTAAAGGCCACACTCTAGTTTATGTCTAAATCCAGTTTAAGTATAGAAAAAAAATCATACATTTTCTTAAGGCCTAGGTCAGTCCATGGGTGCCTGGTTACCACTATGAGACAACAACAAAAATCTATATGTTCCATCTTTTCTTTGCTTTCCTCTCCAGATTCCTCTGAGATTTTTCCCTCTTCTTGCCTTCATTTCCTTGTGAGGGGAGGTCTGTTGTGCTCTCTGTCAGAACCCTTGAATCACTTACACTGCCCTCTCTCATTAGACACCACAATGGAGGGAGCCTGTAGATACTGGTCATCGTAACTTCACATACTCTGACCTTGATGAATTCTTTCAGATAAATGCTGGTGCTCAATTGGCTTTGTCCTATTGATGCGGCCATGAACTCCAACCCATGGAATCATGTCACCCATATTTATTGTGGGTCTCCCTATCAAAGTTATTCTAATTGAGTTAAATTTTACAGAAGCTAGAAGCTGGTCTCCTAGGTGACTCTAGATCCATTCAAATTGACAATATTAACAAGCACAAGAAGTATCTCAGCTAATAAATTAACTTTTAGAAGGACAGAGTCAGCATGCCAGCATTTTGCAACTCTGATAAATTAATGGATCCAGATATTTATTCCTGGATTACTATTCACATGACAACAAATTTTGAACATATGACAGAATTACATCATCTATAAACTATTTGTTCCACATATACTTGCTAGTTGGGATACTTAAACTTATAAACCCCATCCTAAAAATGTAGGAAATGTGCTCACACCCCTCATTCTGCACAAGGCAGTACTCTGAGGCTCTTACTACTTCTGGTGTGGACCTGGGGATCTGCACACAGGGAACTGTTATGAGCATGTTTTTCCCCTAGCCTGGTCACTC